AGCAGGAACAATTGCCTGCGGAGTCCAATTATCAAAAACCACGTGAAATTTCAGTCTCACAGGCGAAAAATAGAGAAAATAAATACAACCCGATTAATTTCCAAAAAGCTTTCATAAAATTATTTCGCACCCGATGGAGTCGCTACTGTTTTATTACCAGCTGAAGAAATATTTCGCAGCTTCGGGCGCATGCAATTAGGGTTTTTGGAAGAAATATTGCTTCGGGTTTTTGTGTTTGGTTTCGAAGGACTTCTCCATTTTATATATCTCCTAAATTTTATTATTCTTATATAAATTATTACTAATTATAAGTTATTACATCTAAATAAATTATTTTTGTTCTATAAAACACTAATAACAAACTAATAACAGATTAATAATATACCAATAACACAGTAATAACACATTATAACACATAATAACACACTAATAATACATAACAACACAACTATACACTTCCCTAGTCCACGTTATAACACGTTGGGAATATTGCCCGAGTGTTATACCGCATGTTATAACGCCACCCCACGTGTTATAGTGCGATTGTATAACACGTGGTGAGGCGTTATAACCTGCGGTATAACACGTGGGGAATATTCTCTGAGTGTTATACCGCGGGTTATAACGCCAGCCCACGTGTTATAGGGCGACTGTATAACATGTGGTGAGACGTTATAACCCTCGGTATAACACGCAGGGAATATTCCCCAAGTGTTATACCGCAGGCTAGGGGAATGTTATAGAGCGACAGTATAACATGTGGGGCGACGTTATAACCCGCGATATAACACGTAGAGAATATCCCCCGTGTGTTATATCGCGGGCTAGTGAGTATATAATTGTGTTATTATGTATTATTAATGTGTTATTATGTGTTATTAATGTGTTATTGTTGTATTATTAGTTTGTTATTAGTGCGTTATAGAACAAAAATAATTTATTTAGATACCATATGTATAATAGAGAATCCATCAAAAACAAACACAAACGCAAAGAAATATTTCTTCCAAAAACCCTAGTTGCATGCGTTCGAAGTTGTGAAATATTTCTTCAACTGACAATAAAACAATATCGACTCCATCGGGTGCGAAATAGTTTTATAAAAACAGCGAGAAATTGATCGGGCTATGTTTCTGGTTGAATTGCGCGCGAAGTTTTATTTATTTTTCTTATTTTCACGTGGCTTCCGTTGATTGAATTTCGTTAATTAGACTCGGCAGACAACTGTCACTGCGGAATCCTCCATATCAGTAACAGAACTACGACTTGAAATAAGAGAAAAGAAAAGGATTTCGCTAAATTTAAGAGATCAAAATTTTTTAAGATAATAACGTGACAATTTAAAGAGAAATCATTCACATAATATATACACATAGAACTTTAAATACAAATTTAGAGGCCTATACTGACTGGCGTGTATGAGGGTACAACCTTCTTGTTGATTGCGAGCTCAATCCATCTCCTTTTCTTTTAATGAGCACACCATTAGGCTCTTATAGACCAAGTATTTTGCTGCAAAAGTTAACAAAATATTAAAAAAATAAGTTATGGATATTAAGATTAAATTTTAGTTAGGAAGATTTTATGCATATTAAATTTAATTTAAAATTAGTGCAATACAAATTAAATCTAATGGGTACCTACATAAAAAAAAGAAAAGAAAAAACAAATTGATGAGAATTATCTTGATATTACAGAGATTTCTATTGAAACATCTAACAAAAGCATTCAAGCAATGGAGAACCTTGAATTAGGTTGCGGTTTGATCTATCAGTCCCCTCTGAAACTTTACAAAACATAAATGTTAGGATAGAGCCCAAGATGATTCTTAATGATGCAAAGAAGGATATTAATTCAAGGTTCTTAAAGAGGATATTGATCCATCAGATTTAAACTTGATGCTAAAAATCCATCGACATTACACTGCTTTCTTGCCGAAAGAAGACTAACGATGTCCTAATTATGGTTTCATTGAAGGGCATTCATCTCCTTCATGGAGACAGCTTTCTATGTTAGGTTTGCAAGGTAACCTCAATAGTAGATGGAAGCTGATGATTGGTCAAGGCCGTAGAAAATGATTTGTAGGCTGGTGATAATCTGCGAAGAGAGACATAGTTTGTCATGGGATAGAGGGAGTCTGTCTGATTGCATATCTTACTAGAAGAACTAACTTCCTCATTTGGAGTAGGAGTAGTGCTGAAGATGTCATTCGGAGGGGATTTAGGGTCGAGCAAGGGGTTAGCAAGATCTAGAGTAGGTGCATCAGAACGAGTGCATTGAGTGTAAACACAAAGAGTAGGAGGATGTGCTGGTGGTACCAAATGGACAGAGGGCACTTTGGTGGTAGAAGAAGTGACTGGAACCAAAGGAATAAATGGTTCCTTGATGGTAAGTGACGTGGGGGGAACATCCACAGAGAAAGCATAAGAAACAATATCCAAGAACTCAAGTTTCCTCTCACTCGAAGCCGAGTTAGGAAAGTATGGATACTTTCAAAAAAAGGAGACATCAACACTGACATAGACCCTATTTGTGGTAGGATTAATGCACCGATACCTTCTTTTGAGTGACAAAGTATTCAACGAAAACATAGATCTAGGATTAAATTTACTCCGCGTTGGGGCCGTGTTCCGAACGAAAGATGTGCATTAAAAAAGTTTGGGATCTAAAGTGGAGTAGACCCGATTGTTAGGAAAGCATGATCTCAAGACAGCTAAAGAGGTATGAAGATTGTGGATTTTTTTAGGGAGCTCTATTAATGAGATAAGTGGCGGTAAGAATGACATCATTCCAGAAATGTTTTGGGACATTAGAGTGAAACATAATCGAGCGAGTAACGTCGAGGAGATGTTAGTTTTTCCTCTCGGCTATCCCATTTTGCCGAGGAGCGTCGGTACACGAGCTATGATGGAAGATGTCTTACCACGAATTCTCCTAATAGAGAGTTAAAAAATTCACAACCATTGTCAGGCATAAGGACTTGCATAGGAGTTTTGAATTGGGTAAAAATGAAGGTGTGGAAATTTTTGAAAGTGACAACAACTTCAGATTTATCTTATAAAATATGGACCTATGTCAATTGAATGCGGTCATCAATGAAAACAATGAACCACCATTTTTTGTAGCGAGGAGCGTGAGATGGTCCCCATAAGTCATTGTGAATAAGAGAGAAAGGAGCGGAAACTGTGTAATTGTAGGGTAGATAAAAAACATGATGACGCTTAACTAACTGACATGTTTCACATTTGAAATTAGAAGGTTTTTTAACAAATACAATTATTTTAGATACTGGAAACTAGAATGACTCAAACGGTAGTGTAACAACATAAAAGGATATTCAACAAATTGAGATAAACTACAACTACTAGATGGAGTGTCCTCGTTCTCCGTGTTTTTCTCTTGGAAGAAGTAGAGCCAACCTACCCGCTCAGTAGTTCCAATCATCTTCCCTGAACGACGATCCTGAAAGACACAGACATCAGAGGAAAAATGAGCAGTGCAATCAATGTGTTGTCCATTGTTGACCTCACTTTTGGTTTGGTTGAAGTCTAGTCTTTCTCTTTAGTAGCCTAAGGTATAGCCATAGAACTTCCTATTGACTACACTTAGAGAACTAGAAAAAGACACCCTCACCATTAGAAATTCTAAACTTTTCTTTACTCAACTTGAAGTTCCACATATTGGAAGTTCCACATATTGGTTCACATATTGGTTCTAACCTCTAGTACTTAATAGGTGGGGTCATTATGGGGGAGCTCAAGGAGAGTTCCTATAAAACCGCTGGACCTTAGGGTTGACCCTGAGCGTTGGTCTAGAGCTAAGACACTCACATCACTCACAATCACTCACTACCATAAACCCAAAATTTCCTGACTTTGGTCCCTTGAACCTTTGAGAAACTCATGTAGATGATCCCCTAACATGTAGATGATCCCCTAAACCTGATCCCCTAAACCTACTGGCCCTAGGCTAGAGTTTAGCTAAGACCAGTACATAGAGGATCCAAATGGGGTTTCCATTGGTCCATGACTTACTTTTGGTGGTTAGTTCCCCAATTTTACCCAAAATACTTAGTCTGACCTTTTGCCCATAAACTTCCCCAAATTACCTAAGTACCCTTGAAACCCTAAATTTGGTAAAAAATTTCAAATTTATCCAAAATACCCAAACTTGTTCAAAAATCATTTCAAACCTTTTGAAAACACCCAAATTACCCAAAATCACAAAAATTGCCAAATTACCAAAATGCCCCTCTTAGGTCTAAAATTTCAAAAATTCCAAAAAATCCCAAAATATTCCAAATATTCCCAATTTCATTCTATCACATGGCCCATTTTGGCCAATTTGACGATCTTTGACCAAGACCCCCAAATTTGTCTTTAAAGACCCAAATGTCCCCAAATTCAACTCAAATGTTCATCAATTTGATCCCAATCTCCCCAAATTTCAATCCCAAACTCAAATTCACCTTCAATGTGACCAAAATAAACTAAATCCAAGCTCAATTGGCCATGCTTTGAGCCCAATTTTTGATTTAGGTCAAACCCCCAATTTTGGACACATGACCTAATTTCACCAAATTGAATCCATAGCCCTATCAATTGGCCATGGTTTATATTGAAAACTCTTTATAACATTTCTACACATCAAAATTGACCATCAATTGACCTTGGTGAAGTCTCAATTTCATTTAATTTCAACTTAAGTCCAAAATCCCCAAATTGGCTATGTCCCCAAGTCTCATTAAATTCAATGCCTTGACCCCAAAATTGACACCCAATTTATGTTGAAAACTTTTTATGAGGTTCCTATTGACCATTTTCAACCATCAATTTGGACTTAGCCCAAGGTTAGCCCAATCTAGACCCAAGTCTAGCCCAACATGCCCAAAATGACCAATTTTCAAATTCTTTCAAATTGACCCTTCAATTGAACTCAAAATCCTTTCAATCCTTCACCCAAAATGTTCATTACAATCATCTACATCAAATGCATCAATCAATTGGGTCAATTGACATGGCTAGCTTATCCCAAACCTTTGGTCATTTGAACCCACATTGGACCCTTGCACTAAAATTAGCCTAACCACCCCAAAGTCACCAATTTAATGACTCCACAACCATTAGTTGGACCCTAGTGACCAAGCTAAACCTTATAAAACCACCTAAGCTAAGCCATGGACCAAAGGTCCCCTAAATCAAGGGATTTTGATTCCATATTTGCTTAAGCCTTGGATATTTACCTCAACTCATTTAATTGCTGTGACATATTCGTTTGGGTTCCCTAAGCTCCTAGTCACCTCCCCCTGCCATGGCTAGTTGGCCTAGTCGTCGGAGAAGCCAAAACTGAGGGCCACCCCCTCTTAAACTTCACCTAATTCAAACCTAGAGGCCAGCTCACCCATTTTAAATTGTAGAGCCCCTCTGCCCTCCACCTAAGCATCACATTGCACCCAAACATTGGCCATGACAGCAACCCCAAGCCCATTTTTATAAAAAGCTCACCTCCACGGCCATTGGAGGTAACCATGGAGGTAGTGCTGAAATTTTCTCAGAGAGAGCTTTCCAAATCACTCACAGAGCTTCTTTGAGATTACTCCTCAGTGTAATCCAACCATCTTCCCCCACTGATTCTCACTGTGGAAGCCCAATTTTGAGTTCAAATTTCTGTCTAAAACCAGGACAGAGCTCATTACACTCCCACAGTCCACCAAACTTCAATTACTTGTACCCACACATTCACAACACTGAAAGAAGACAAAACCCTATCAAATCCCCCTTCCACTGAGCCCCTAGCATAGACTTTGATCAACACCTGAAATCGAGCTTGGTCGAATTCATACCTAGACCTTACACCACAGCAAGAGGCTCAATCCCTAGCCTCCTTGGTCTCCAACGAACGTGACAAGCATCTCTGATTGAACCTTACTTTCTCAGAGCAAAGGTATTGAACACCTCCTCATTCCTCATCCCGAGCCTACTCCTCATCCCGAGCCTATTTTGATTCTCCATTTTCTTGAGCTTAATTTCATGGCATCTTAACCGTATGGATCCTCTAGTCTAGACGAGCATAGCATTTAAAAAAAAAAAATCACTTAATTTGGTTGAGAAATGAGGGAGATATCAAACTTGGAAGATAGACGGCTCTCGGGCTAGGCTATCGGGGACGATGACTGAGCGTCGCTCGATCAAGCGTGTATCAGATGGACGGTCAAGATGAAGCCGAACAACGCTTCGGGACATAAACTGCGGGCCGAGTCATCGCTGAAGTGGATGACAACGTCGATTGAGAGCGCGCCGAGTGGAGCTTCAGAGCTGCCTAGGATGATGTGGCACCGTACGTTTAAATAGATAAATAGGGAAAATAGATAAATAGGGAATTAATAGATAAATAGGGAATTAAAAAATTCAGAAAATACACCCTAACTTCAAAAATTCATATGTTGGTGTAGAAAAATCACAAAAATAAAATAAAAATATCATCTTGCTTAGTGAACAAAAGAGAACAATATG